GGAATACACAAGAACGGACCTCATTTCTTTATTTTTTAACAGAGTGATGTGTCTTTTACACACTACATGCAGAATGGAATCTACGTTTTCATCAAATTAATGTAAACTCTAAATTGTAACATACTTATTTTCTTCTTTGCGATTGTCGGGGTTGTCCAATTTCTGTTTCTGCATCTATTTTTAGTAACACAAAAATATGTCACACCTCAAGAAGGAAGTGTCTACGTTCTCAAACGTTAGAGAATGTAATACAAGCTGTCTACGTTCTCTAACAAATAGAAAAAGTAACAATATTAAGCCTGTAGGGCCCTATTTGAACTTCCGGATAAGGCTAGACTACTTTTCAATCTTTTTTTTTTTCAAATTGGTTTACATTATGTTGTGTCGTTAGATCAACATCAAATAGGTCCGCCAGTCCACTCACTGAAGTTGGTTAGTCATGCACTAGATCTTGGCCTATCGTAGACATAGCGTTGATATGACTGACTTGACCTTGACCCACGTGATTTGATTTCATGACAGTGATGTCACATCACACACCAAATCGGCACTGTTTTTCCACACATATGAATTTGGTATCATTTATAGTCTCTCACGTTGCATCACATAGGCCTACCTTGGCGTTGAGGTGGGAATACGAAATCGCATGTAAATTGCAAGCTATTAAAAAAAATACTAATTACAGACGGCCTGATCTTCAGTGACTTATTCAAAGTTTTAAGGGGGGGGGGGCATCAGAGTGCACCTTCCTTGGGTGAAAAGTGTAGGCCTACAACATATTATTATGAAAAGGAAGGGGGGGGGTGGTGTCATCTCGATGGAATGATAGAAGGTGTTGGCTGCTTGTTAGGGGTTTAACGTCGCTGTAAAGGCAAGATGCGGTACTGTAGACAGCTTTACTTTCGCAAGCATTTTAATTTATTTATAGAGGCACCAGCCATCAATGTCCAGGTGCTGTTTTAGCCTTGTTATCTATCCTTGAGCTTCGCAAAGTTCCTGTCTCATTATCTC